AGTCTCAATGTGGACAGACTTAACATGTGCTTTCAAGTAAAGCATTACAATTAATATAGTTTAATACTACAAACTCCCTCTTTTTCTAAATTTAAAGATTATTATATATAAAATGGGAAAGGCACAAATTCATTTCCTTTTTATTTGGCTTGAATTTCCCAGGACTTCAAAGTGTCTAAAGAAATGGCACTTGCATGGCGTCCTTTATCTTGGACCTACAGTACTTTCTTTCTGTTCCTTCCCAAATATATTACTAAGCCTTTATTTGTGCCAAACCACCTCCTCTGGTGAGTACAACGAAAGCTCTGATGTCTCCTCTTCATTCTGCAGCTACAGCTAAGCCTCCGAACAGTTAATACTGTACCCCTGCTCAATCTGCTGAGAGCACACGCCTGGAATACTGATTCCATTGCTTAAGGCCATTTCATAAGTCCCCCAAACAGACTGCCATTACGACCATTTCTCTCTCCAGAGCTGGCAGTTAATGACCATTCTACTTCTAGCTAGGAAGGGAGCAGTTACTTCCTGGCAGTGTGTCTTTAGGTCAGCATAATTTTACCATTGCCCATGGGTAAACAAATAGTATTTTAGTTTGTATTTATTAGATTAGAAATGGAATGCTCTGAGAGTATACTATCCTATTACTTTGGCTTAGGTCTTTTTCACTCAAATATCCTCCTTTCAAAGTTATCTGTCAGTGTTCTATTAAAAAACCCACCATAACTAAATATGTTTGTTCCTCTTCTAGTTTAAAAAACACACAGGAGAATTATTCTTTAATTTTCAGTTCTTTCAAAGTCCTTCTTGGGGTAAGAAAAGTCTTATTTCAACCAGAAATAAGCAGATACCTGCAACAACTCTCAAAAGAGAGGTACACAAGAAAAACGTGGCTTCTTTTTCCAAAAGTCATTATTTTCCTTTTTCTTTTTAAGGTACCCAGAACTATTGCATCGAGCCAAAACGACCAGTTCTCTTCACGGAGGAGAATGGCAATTGGCTGTTACTCATTAAATTCTTACAGCAATGAGCAATGACTTGCATTCTCGTTCTGTTTCTCTTTAAATAGTAGGTTAAGTTGATTCTTTTCCCATCACCACATTCCTGACACTTGATCTATGTAGCTGCTAATATGCTGCACACATATTAACGCAGTAGTTAACTGCAACTGAATTCATCCTTAACAAACTATGCAGTTAACCTTTCTGTTTACTCCAAGTCAGTTCCTATCTTGTTAGTGAAATCAATTTTTCCTCCTTTCTAAACATAGTAATTTTATCTGGTACAAAAACTATATGTATAATCCATTGGTTTTTTTATTTTTCCCCCCAAGAGTTTCAGGAGCCACGGGTTCTCATTTCTATTGGAGAAAGACATGTCTATTTGTGGTAATTCCAAAAGATGGGCTGCTATAACAACTTTACAAATACAGTTATTACCTCTTAGGTATTTGGGGAGGCCAAATGTCACCTTTATTCTCAAAGAAAAGTTAATCCCTTTGATTAAACACAGGTGAAAGATGGTATTTTCTGGAGTAAAATATTGGAAAACATACCAAAGGATGTTTTGCTATAACTAGCTGTATTCAAAGGTACTCCTCCATACTCATAACTTGCCCCCACCCTTTTGTATTGTAAATTGCCAGTTAATCATCTGTACCCTTTCAAAGACAGGAAGCTCCTGGAAGGCAGGGATTATATCATAACTAGTAGCTCTGCGCACGAATCCGTGCGCCAGTAGCTCGCTGACGCCCTCTAGTAGCTCTTCATCTTCTACCCTGCCCTCCTGTAGCTTCCCCCCTCCCCCGTCCCCCCTCATAGCCTGCTGCCCTGCCCCCTCCTGTAGCTCTCTGCTACCCACTTGTAGCTCTCTGCCCCACCCTCCTGCTTATCTGTGATCCAGTCGTTATGTGGTCAGTCGTTACACTTCACAGTGTAATGACCATTTGCATATTACGTCTTTATTATATAGGATGGTTGTTTTATCTGCAGGGCACATGGTCTGGCAGATGGTACACAAAAAGTATGTGACAGTATTGAAATCAGCTCAAAAGTCCAATTCTTAATTAGCCACAGTGTTAGACAAACTGGCACACCCATTGCCCCAATGTTTATAGAACAAGTTTTGTGTGTATGTGTGTGTCTTTTAATAGCCCCAAATGCCTAAGGGTGTGTGTTTTATTTTTATTTATTTAGTTAGTTAGTTAGTTAATCCTCACTCGAAGATATATTTTTCCATTGATTTTTAGAAAGAGTGGAAGGGAAGGGAGAGACAGAGAGAAACATCAATGTGAGAGAGACATATGGACTGGCTGCCTCCCACATGCACCCCGCCCAGGCCAGGGATCAAGCCTGTGACCAAGGTATGTGCCCTTGACTGACTTGAACCCGGGACTCTTCAGTCCCCAGGTTAACACTAACCACTGAAAAAAACAGCCAGGGCTATGGAACAAGTTTTAGTCAGACATTATCACAGTTCAAATAGATATGCCTACTTTTAAATATCTAATGATCTCTATCTAAACACTGAGTATCACCCTAGCTCAGGGGTCCTCAAACTTTTTAAACAGGGGGCCAGTTCACTGTCCCTCAGACCGTTGGAGGGCCGGACTATAGTTTAAAAAAAAACTGTGAACAAATTCCTATGCACACTGCATATATCTTATTTTGAAGTAAAAAAACAAAACGGGAACAAATACAATATTCGTATCTGCATGTGGCCCGTGGGCCGTAGTTTGAGGACCCCTGCCCTAGCTGGTTTGGCTCAGTGGATAGAGCACTGGCCTGTGGACTGAAGGGTCCCAGGTTCGATTCCGGTCAGGGGCACGTGCCTGGGTTGCAGGCTCCATCTCTAGTCGGGGGCGAGCAGGAGGCAGCCAATCGATGAATCTCTCTCATCATTGATGTTTCTATCTCTCTCTCCCTCTCCCTTCCTCTCTGAAATCAATAAAAAATATATTAAATAAAAATAAACACTGAGTATCTTTATAGCAGGCAGCAGAAACAATTTTAATTTGTGAGTTTTGAATTTTTGTTCTGATTCAAACTATATTACTAACTAGCAATAATCTTTGGCAAATCACTTTAACCTGGTTGGATCTTGTGTCATTAGTGTGGAACGGGATTAAAGAAATGATCTCCAATTACCCAGTTCTAAACCTCTGATTCAGCATGAACCAATACAGGTACTACTGCTATGGAGATACAAGATATAGCAAGGCCTTGCCAACACTAGAGGGAGCTACACTCATGTCATCACCGAGCTGGTTAGGGAGATTTTAAAACAAAGCATCTTTAAATGGAAAACTGACTTAACAAAGTGACAAAAATTAAATATCAAGTGAGAAATCCATAATGTTCATACAGCCACCACCACCACCACCACCCCACCCCGCCACACACACATACACACACAGGTTCTCTGCTGGCACCTCCCTCTTATAGACATCAAAGCACTTCACATCAACACATCATCTGTGTTTTTAATTCTAATTCCAAAAGAACCAAGTTGATTTGAATCATTCCAACAGATTTCTTTTCCCACTCAGTCTATTTTCTTTCTTAATCAAATTAACAACAGAAAAGCAAAATAATTAACTATACTACTGGAAAGTCTCCAAGGAAATGAGATAGAGGAAGAGAAAGATTCATATCGCACTGAAGCTGTGGCCTGAGAAAATCAGTAGTTAATTGCAACTAAATTCATTAGCAGCCTGCCACTCAAACCCAAACCTACCATAAATACTTTGAAAACAAGAAAAATATTTAAAAAGAGGAAAGATACAGTATAAGGAAAAGAAGGAATCAATGTAACTCAGCAATGTGGGAGCTGGAATGTTGGCGTAAGTCAGTGGTTCTCAACCTTGGCTGCACATTAGAATCACCTGGGAATCTTCTTAAAATCCTGATTTATGGGCCTCATCCTCCGGAAATTCTGTTTGTTATGGGCTGGGGCCACAACATTAGTAACAAAGAAACAGAATTTCCGGAGGATGAGGCCCAGAAATCAGAATTTTAAAAAGATTCCCAGGTGATTCTAATGTGCAGTCAAGGTTGAGAACCACTGGCCTAAGTGAATGCTGTCATTGCCCTGTTGGGCTCTGCAGCTGCTGAAGAGTGATGTCAGTACGTAGAGGCAACTGACAAGAAAACTGTCAAGGGACAAAATGAGATAAGGGCATGAAGGACAAGGACGTGGTATGGAAGAAAAAAGAAAAGTATTTCCAAAGCTAAAGCTGATTATATGCATTTTCTCTTTCCCAGCTCCAAAGAAAACATCCATGGCCTTGCAAATGTATGACCTACACCATTATAGAACAAGTGAAATGCAGAATCAAAACCTCTCCATTGGCATCAACTTATGTTTCTCTTTGCCCGGAAACGCAATGGCATGTTAACCTGATAGAGAGGGCATAAATTGTGGACATTACAGAATGTGGTCTGTGGAAGAAAGATAAATGCAATCCTGAAGAGCCCCTTTTATTTAAATTTCATGGATTAATTTAACATGGAGAAAGCAAAGCCTCAACAGTCAGAACTAAACTACCTACTTTTTAGGACATGAGCTGTTCCTGAGTAAAAATAGATTATGAAACAACTTTGGAGAGTCACTTTGTGGGAGAAAAGAAAACTTCTAGAACAAGACAAACAATTCTATTTTCACTTAAAAAATGCAAACTCAGACCTCCAAAGATAAAAATAACAGTGTAAAACTCACCAGGTTAAAAACCAACTTATTCCTATGGATCCAAGTAGTTGGATTCTTGTTGCTTAAATCATCAATTTCAAATACTCTAGAGATATCACAGCGTTAACAGAGTCAAAAAATTTCTCTTTTCTTTTAGGACATTAAAAAAAGTGTTTTTAAGTAACCCTTTCAGTCAGTGAGCCTCAGGGGAAGAATAAGAAATATATACTTTACTGTGAAAAAGAGAACGACTTGTTTTCCTTGCTTATTTAGGACACAGGTCAATGGATTTCTAATTCACTCTCTTTCTTACTGACCTTTAAGATGTTTCTGCCATCAAATGATTCTCTTTCTTTGAAGATATATTTGCCATCTGCTGTGTGGATATTGTACCTGCCTTCAGCTGTAAATATGACAAAGAAAATGTCAGAAGAGAAGCCTGGACTATTTATGTTTGTTTTCTCTTGGGTTTCTATGAGTACAACTAGCAAAATATCCATGGACTATCTGGAAAGTGGCATAATATGGAGGGAAAACATCACAGTATTAGTCAAGAGACGCAGTCTCTACTCTTAGCTCTGTTATCAACACATTCAGTATACATTTATTCATTCAACATTGTTCAAGCAGTCATTGTACGTTAACTATGTAACTAGCTATATTCTTAGTCAAAGTTACTTAGTCAAAGTTCCTGGTTAAGACTGGGTGATCTTCAAAGGCTCCTCAGAGTCTAAAAACCCAGGATTTTATAAAAGCTGCATGTATTTTTAATATATAAAAATACAGAAAAGTTCACATATTAACTAGTCAAAAATGCTGACAACCATGCTTTGGGTTGATTTTGGGACACCCCCTAAATAAGGAAGACCCCTTTAGTTGCAATCAAAGGTATCCTAATAGACCTTCTACACAGAAATGTAGCAAATCTATGACCTTAGCCTCATCAAAGCTGCACTCTAACTCCTTGATTTAATTTAGCTTGCTTATCCCAAAAGATGTCCTTAAAGTATAGCATGAAAAGGAATATCAAAAGAAAGGGATAACAGGAAAGAAAACATAAAACCTTATTCTACGTCCCTTTCAAGTAAAAATTCAACACAAAGAAGAATACAGGGTATAGAAAAATCAAAGCATCCTTAAAAATTATTTAACTCTGAAGACATTTTTCCAAAAATATCAACCCTTTCATGTCCTAAAAAATACCTGCATTTCCATTTGTGAGTATGGTCTTTTACTGTATATAGGTATGGGGACTACCAAGTCAGTATTGATAAAATATATATTTTTATATGTTCATAAAATATATATGTCTTTAGATCTTAGCCCTTAATAAAATAAAAACCAGACTTAAGGACTAAGATTTAAGTGCTAACTCCATGAACATAATATATTTTAGCTAGCCCATTGGAATTATACATGGGTAACTATGGAACCATTTCTCTAATTAGAAATATTCTCTTAATCAAAGCTCCCAATTCCATTGATATTCTGCAACTTAAAAATAAGTCCCCTGTTAAGAGAAGATGTGGAATTTTAAAGTAAATCATATTAAATAATTATCTATAAAAAACAGTAATCATATCTGAAGATTGAAATGTTTAATGACAGTTTCAAAATCTATAAGTAGCATTAGCCTTTAGGGAAATGATAATAAAAAGCACAATGAGATATCACTTCACACCCACAGAATGGCAATAATAAAAAAGACATAATAAAGATGTAGAGAAATCAGATGCCAATTCTGATTAGAAATACGTTCTTGGGAGCATTTTATAACCTAAAAAGTTGGTTCCATCCCTCTACTTTGGGGTCCCTTTATGTTGATTCAATCCTGTTTAGTATCTTACTTTCTACTTTCTGAGGTTCATTTCTCCAAACCCAAGCTCACAGAGAAGTGGAAATGGAGATTATCTGGTATTCCTCTCTAGATTCCCAGGTAGAGTTTCTACAGCTCAGGAAAGAGATGAGGTATAAATAAGGACCTTGAGTTTAAATGGAGTAAGTGACAAAATGAGAACTGCCTAGAAACATATCATTCAAATTAGCTGTTAATTCAGTATTTTTAAGTATATCTGCAAGTCATTTCTTAACACTTCTGAAGTAGTCCACAAGTGGTTAAATTAAAATCAAAATAAAAGAACTATTGAGTTAATAAACAACAACACTAAACATGGGATTCTGTGCTGATAACTTTTACACAACAGGTCTTCGAAAAAGAAGCTGCATAGAACTTGAATTTGTGGCTGATCAGACAGATGCTGAATGTGTTAAAGCTTTCCGTTGGGGAGGGGAAGTGGAAAGAAAAGAAGATCCTTTTTGAAATGTATTTTTATAAGGCATTTTTATAAGAAGCCTCAGATTCTATGAGGGGGAAAAAAATTATTACTCTAACAAAAGGTTCCTCAACCTTGGTGCTGTTGACATTTTGGACTGAATAATTCTTTGTTGTGGGGTCTATACTGTGTTGCAGAGGGTTACACAGGATCCCTGACTTCTACCCACTAGATGTCAGCAGAAACCCACCCCTAGCCCCCTAACTGTGACAACAACAATGTCTCCAGACAACCCCATATATCCTCTAGGGCAGCGGTCGCCAACCTTTCGGACCTCATGGACCACCAGTTGGTGACCACTGCTCCAAAGGTTTCCTTAAACCAACAGTCACCAACCTTTTGGACCTCATGGACCACCAGTGGTCCGCGGACCACCGACTGGTGACCACTGCTCTAGGGGATAAAATTGCCGCTAGTTGAGAACCACTGGTCTAACATTTACTTTTACCAGCTAATGTTCGTTTCGTCTTTCAAAATAAGCCAACAAGTATTGCATGGGACATACTTATACTAAAGTAATTAGTCACTGTTTACCTAAAATTTATCTGGGCATCCTGTATTTCTATTTGCTAAATCTGACAACCCTGTGTATGACAGAAATAAAAGAGTAGGGATGCCACAATCTCATGCTAGACATGTCCCTGCACACTTCCACTGTGCTCATTTAAACAAGCTAACAGATCAAAAAAAGAAGATATATCAGAAATTATTTGATAGGCCCATTCTACTTAAACTCTAGAGATTTTATCATTTGGCCTTACTAATGACAAACTGTGCTACAGTTCTGTGGACTTACCATTGGGATCTTTCCTTAACAGAGTATTCATGACGGTAGCATGGAGTTTCACACTAGTCCACTCTTTCATTATTAGTCCAGATGCCTGAAAACGTTCTAGGACTCGATCAACTAATTCCTGCAGCCTGATGAAATGGAAGAGAGAAGTACAAAAATCTTAGTAAACCCGTGAGCCCCTGATTACTAATTCAACATTTAGGAAGCCCCTGCTCTGGGCCAATCACTGTACAAGGCCCTGCATAAGAAGAGGAATAAAAGGCCACAGTCCCTACCATCATGAAGCTCACAGCCTTATAAAGAAGGCAGAAACAACTACAAACATGATGGGTGAGTATTCAGGGAGAGATCAACTGTACATGGAGAGGACAAGGTTTTCACAGGAGGTTTAAACATGGTCTTGAAGAAACATGGAAGTTTATTATTTTGAGAATAGATCTCAAGAAGCCAGGCTCAACAGAATTACCTAAAAGAAAGGGCTTTATTGATTTATCCATTCACAGAACCAAAAACTAGTGTGGCTGATGTGTTTCTACCAGGATCAAGTGAGGTCTGGTACAACTCTAAGGTATTTGCTCACTGGAAAGGAGTATGCATGTGATTATCCCAGTAGCACTGGATACTATACCATTGTTTCAATGAGGTGTAAATACAGAACCAATAAAGACCCTATATAATAAAAGCCTAATATGCTGTAGCCGCGTTTGGACAGGTTCAAGCCTGGGACTAATAAGAGGGCATGATCCTCTCATGGCAAAGCCATGTGCAAGTCCCACCACAATTATAACCAAAGGCTACAGTTGTAAGCTTGACCTTATGGTCCAAACCTGTGGTCCCAGGAGGTAGAGTGATATGGGCTTGATAGAGTTCAGGTGCATGTAATTGAGTAAGATTTGAAATCTGCAAGAACATTGTAAACATCTTGACCAAACCCTTACTTTGCCTCGTGGAATCTGGCTATAAAGTAAAGACTTGGCTTGCAGGTCATGGCACTGTCTCTCTAATCAGAGGGCAGTGTCCCACCCAGACCCAGCTTTATTCTCTTGTCTGTCTTTTCTAATCCTTCACCGCCCCCTCTCAGGTTTACCCATGGCCGTGCTGGCACGGCACACTTAGTGTCTGGTTGTCGGATCGGCTGTTCAACCAATCAAAGTGTAATATGCTAATGATATACTAAGGCAGCTCAACCGCTTGCTATGACGTACACTGACCACCAGGTGGCAGACGCTCCGACCGGTAGGTTAGCTTGCTGCTGGGGTCTAGCTGATGGGGACTGAGTGAGATGGCCGGACACACCTTGGAGCCCTCCTACAGTCCCTCCTCCGCTGGCCAACCTCCCGGCCCCAATCATGTACTGGTGGGGTCCCTCAGCCTGGCTAGCACCCTCTTGCAATCTGAGACCCCTCGGGGGATGTTGGAGAGCTGGTTTTGGCCTGATCCCGCAGGCCAGGCCAAGGAACCCCACCAGTGGCCCCTAGCCCTATATAATAGAAGCCTAATATGCAAATTGTCCCCTCAGGTGGTCATTCAACCGGAATTTGAACAGGAGTTCAACTGGGAGTTCGACCGCTCGCTCTGACGTGTGCTGACCACCAGGGGGTGGCGCAGAACGTGGTGGGTGTTGGCGACGCAGCGCTGGCAGTGGAGGTGTTGCTGGCCCCAATGGGCCCCAACAACAGCAGTACAGTGGCAGGATGGTGGAGCAGGTAAGCGGGCGGCGCCAGATAAAGGTGGGATGCCAGGCAGGGCTGCAGGGCTGTAAGGCTGGGGGCGCAAGCTGGGGCCCCATCTCCACAGGCCACCCCGAGGCACCCCACCTGTGCACAAATTTGTGTACCGGGCCTCTAGTAACTACATAAAAGAATATCCACAGCTGCAATTGCATGACTGATTCCCCTATGGACTCACGTCAGGTGGTTCTGCAGTGGATGAGCTCTACCTTAATGATGGCCACTCATTCTAGTACCTCCACCAGAAGCAATTTCTGCATAAGAAGTCTTCATTCTGTTCAGGTATTTTGCTCAACAGCTTGGAGAATGCCCTTTAACACTTCTTGCAAGGCCACTCTAGTTGATGATGAATTTCTTCAGCTTTTTTGTCTGGAAAACTCTTTATCTCTCCTTCAACTCTGAAGAACAACTTTGCCAGTAGTTCCAACAAGAGGGGTCATTATCCCAGCAAGTATGTGGTGGAGAGGATCTTGGTCCTAGGCCTCAGAATCAGCCATCGTCTGTGACCACCCACTCACCTGATGATAAAATGTAGCCTGTGGCTTTTACATGTCATGCCAAAACAGCCACCCAGAGCCCAAACAAGCTCTCACTGAACGCTGGCCCTGACTGGGAGGTCACATCAAAAGACAGAGCATGCCCTAGCCGGTTTGGCTCAGTGGACAGAGTACTGGCCGCAGACTGAAGGGTCCCAGATTTGATTCCGGTCAAGGCACATACCCAGGTTGCAGGCTCGGTCCCCAATGGGGGGCAAGCAGTAGGCAGCGGGTGGATGGTTCTCTCTAATCATTGATGTTTCTCTCTCTCCCTCTTCCTTCCTCTCTGAAATCAATAAAAATATATTAAAAAAAAAAAAGATTGAGCAGTGCACCTGGGGACAGAGCGAGGGGAGGAGCCTGCACCTTTCAACCTTTCCCTGGCCTTATTTGAGATTTGTTCTGCATACTCATTGACTTTCCTGGCTCAAAATAATTCCTTATTAGTCACTAATGTGCTAGTGAACAATAGATTTCCTATTTTTTAGATTTTACATTTTTTTTGATGTACTAGTATCAAACATCACCTCTTTTATTGGACTCAAGTAGCCTTGAGACATGTATAGAGTTCATGAATCTTCCGCTGCTTCCTGGGCCATGGCGCTGTGGTAAGCAGTGAGCTGCTTCTCCTTAAGCATGGCTGGATGGGTTTGTTTTATGTGAGATGTGGGTCAGGTTCACTCTGTGTGGCCCATCTGTGGAAGCTTGCCTCCAGCAGTTGTTCTGGCTGCAGCAGCTGAATTGCTGAAGGCCTATCTCCAAGTGGACAACAGCCTCTGGTACCCCCATCCAGCCATCGTCCACTCACTTAAGATGTGAGCAAAACCACTCTCTTCCGCTTGCCCTGCATACGCTGCAGCAAGAGGGAGTCACTCTCCCCTAGATATTGACTTAGGAGCCCAAACGATTCGTTGCCCCTTTTGATTTTCAGGTCCCAAAGTTCCAAATTAATCTTAAAATTATAATTTCTTTATCTTAATTGTTTTTATGAACTACTGTCTGCTAACCAAAGAATATTTATAACATGAGTAAGCCATGATTGATAATAAAATAAATGCCCATGTCCCCTCCACCAAACCTCAGAAATAGACAGGACTGGGAGTGAGGCACAAAATTTAAGAGGGTGTCTAAAAATGCAGTAACCAAGATTAATCATGTTTTAATGCAATATATTTAACAATCAGAATTAATGCAAAAAAATCTACAATGAACGGAATATCAAAACTGTGAATGAAGATGGGGTCAGTATTACTGAGTTCCTTTGCCTCAGACTCCAGCACAGCTTGGCATGGGATAGAACCTCACAGTACCCCAGTTCCGCAGGGCGCTCCCTGTGCTGGAGGTTCCAGCGACTCCTGCTGCCTGCCCCGCATCTCCTGGCGCAGCCTCAGGACCCAGCACTCTTCAGTACGCGCATTTCCTCATCTGGCTTTCTCCACTCAGCAACTTGACAGCTGCCACGTCTGGGCCTTCTGTTCCCTGGGCCACAACAGCCACCCTTCCCTCCCTCCACCTATGCAAACCATACCCTCCTTCCAGGTTCCAATTCAAATCCTACCTTCCCATGAAGCCTTCGTAACCACCCTAACATCCCTATGCCCAGGTACCCATGAGCAGTGACTCTATCCTCCTCTGAAATGCTGCCCCCGCTTATACGGTGTGCTCTACTTAGGATTCTCAGAAATGGTCCCTTAATGTTTCAAGTTTGTCTGTCTGGTTCTCCTACTAGATTATACTAGTGCTTCTTCAGAGCATGAAGTACAAAAGGCACTGAATATACAGTGCTGAAAAGATATATTCTCTGCCCCCAAACATCTATTTGGGAAAAAGAAGCAGGAAAGACAGCAAGAAGGAAAATAGCATTTGGACACAAAAAGATGAGTAACATGAGAGAAATTTTAGACACAAGAAAAATACTAACAAAGACACATACGATCATCAATAAGCAGTGCAGCTGGCTGGGGCCTGGAGCAAGTGTAAGATAGTAGAGTATCAAGATGAACTATTAAGGTGGTTTCATACCAGAAGGTCTTGAATACTAGACTGGGGAATATGAATGATTTCAAAAGATGTGAAATGATGGGAGATTTTTAAGCAAGTAAGTCCTATGGTATATAGGCTACAGCTTAGGAGGACTAATGTAGCAGTATTTCATAGGATCTATACACACTGACATAAAAGTAATGTCTAGGTAATATTTCATACGAATGAACTGTAGAACAATAAGCATAATGTGGTCCCATTTGTGTAAAATAATATGCACAGACAAGGACTCCCAGCAGTATCAGCTCTGCTTATAACCTATTGGGGAAGAAATTTGAGAGAGTCAGGGCAGGGGAAAGACAGCCATTTAATTTTCACTTTACCCACCTGTAAAGCTTTTTTTTTTCCATTGATTTTTTTTTTTGACAGAGAGAAACATGGATTTGTTGTTCCACTTATTTATGCATTCATTGGTTGGTTCTTT